TGTGTAGTGGCTAACTAGCTATTGGCATTTCTTTTGTGTTATTCAAGTTCCACAGAATATTTCTTTATCTGTCTGGCTAAAGATAATTGTGAAAATGACTAACCTGAAGTAGGCTACATATAAGCAATTTGTTTTCACTTCACAGCTTAAGTGTAATGAACAGAATCAGTTGTATTGGTTTTATTAAGCGTAAAAAAGGAAAAAATTCTGATGGAAGTGACAGCACCTCTATGATTTCCATTTATATGTAACAGTTGAAGAATGCTGGATAACTAGTGTCTTGAGGTACCAGCTGGGGCGAAGAAGCTGCCCCTTTATCTGACGTGGAAGTAGAAAATGATCACTTGATGTGGATCACAAGTATTAATCTCAAGTATTACTTTCTCCTTTAATGTGCCACCCCAAGTCAGACTCAAAGATCATATGTTCAAGGAAGCCTCACAATGGGCTGACCAGACCGTCCTTTTTTGTGTGGAAAAAGATATAGGGTGTGTCTCAAAACCTAGTGAGCTCTCTACATAGACAGCATTTTACGTCACAATATGCGCGCTCCCGACAAGAAGGCTGTCCCAATTCTTAGATATCTCAAATATGCTGCCTACTGAGGTACCTCATTTTGGCCGAATATCGAGAGAGCATCGGACGTTTCCTCAGCCGCTGAGGCAATCCCGCGATGCAGCGCGGCGCAACTTTTGTTCGAAGATGGCGGGCAGAAGCGTTTCACCAAGCCCCGACGTCATCTTCAAATGTAAGTTATTCTGATTTTCTGGGGTATTTATCTGTTTTCTAGTCATAAAGATGCACAAATAGCCTATACTTTCCGCGTTTGACCACAACTATTGTCTATTTTGCTGTTTCATTCAGAGCAAATACAATTAAAATCGCTATATAAACTGCCAGAGCAGGATCCATTTTTGCTAAATGTGATTCTGACAGCAAAGGTAAGTAAACGCCGGTCTCGTGCAGTGGGCGGGAACAAGCGGCGACATCACTGGTGTCTAACTAGAGCGTCTCATTTGTCTATCTTATTTGGATAGATGACGTCTGGAACGCTGCCTACTTAGACAGCTGCCTATGTAGACAGTGGCTACTTAGAGAGCTCGCTAGGTTTTGAGACACACCCTTAGTCTCACCTGAGGAAGCATCTTGCTTCTTCCAGGGCACTGAACAGGAAAAGTGGAGCTTGGTGGGTTCACACTGGAGCCCACTGCGCAGGAGGGCCTAACATAATTATGTAGGTTAACATTAACTGCTAATGGGTGGACAGTCACACCTTGAGAGATATAACACAAACTTATTGTTTTTGCACTGGGGCCCACAAGGTCCTTGTTATGAATGTACAGTCTACAGACTCACTAGCACTGTGTAACAGTATGCTACGGACTGTGGGATAATAGATGTTATCAAAGAAACTGGGGTTTTTGTATAGGTGTGTCTCATCTCCGGTTCTGTTGCATGTGCTATGCTGTTTACAGGAGCCTCAAAAATTATGACAGTATTTCAGACAGGCAGTCCCCTGGTGGAAAATCTGATAATGAAGTGACATATATATTGGTGCATACTATTTGCATGGGTAAAATTAGGTTAGAGTGAAAATTACGAGTGAATGGGGGCTCCTGGCCTCGGTACAGCCATACTAGTCTCAAACATTTTTCAGGTGGCAGGGCAGTTCTGTGAACAGAATAGGAAAAAAAATGTATTTTATCTGCTCCTTTAAAAGCAAGATCACTTGAAATAAATGAAACTATAAAATATTGTGCTTGACAGTTGACTTTGAGTCTAATAAATGGCTCAATAAATAAAACAATAAATAATAAAAAAAACTAAAGTATATTGCTTATTTTGATTGTAATTATTTCCTTTTTCTTCAGTTATATATTTCTCAATTTATTTATCTGTATTATATTTTTTTTTCCGTATCTATATTTTTAACAACTGTTCGCCTTATTTATTGATTCATGTATTCATTCATTTATTTATTTTTTCATTGATTCATTTTTTTTCATGAATTAATTCATTTAATTCTGTATTTCTTCTTACATATGATAATGAGGGGCGTGTTTTTCACGTTCAGGCTTAGCAATCAAGACCAGGAGGAGAAGAGCTGATTAAACTGTTCTTTCACCAACTCCATAAAGAACTGCAATGTCACGGACAGACAAACCCGCCAATAATAACTTTCGTTGGCATCCACAGTCTCAGTATGTGAGAAGGTCGTCCAAATACCTGGGTGTGATCTGAATTTTGCAGAAAAAGACGATGAACCACCTCTATGGGAGGCAAATCCAGGCAAAAAAGAAATTAAAATTAAAACCATAAAATGAAAATGCAAACCTCTTTTTGCCATTTCTTTTTCCAAACATCTGCGCAAATATCCGGCCAAAATTGAAAATGAAATGAAATGTCTACATTTGCAATTTCATTTTTCACATGAGCACGAGCCATTTGTGACAAAAATAAAAATAAATGCAAAACAGCTATTTGTCATTTCATTTTAGTCGTTATCTGGTTTTTCATGGCCAAATCTAAAATGAAAAAGCTAATAGAGAAAAGAAAATCCAAGCTTCACTTTGGCTTTGGCTTTTCTTCATGAAATGCAGAATACGTGTCAAAACAAAAATCAAAATGCAGTGTCTACGTTTTTATTTCTTTTTCACAGCAATCGGCTGTAGATCTGACAAAATGAAAATGAAAATGCAAAACTGATAAATCAACAGCAAAGTGACGGTTTGTGATTCAGTTTTCGGCGCGGACGCGCTTGAAGTGTCACAATGAAAAGGCAAATGCAAACAAACATCAGCGCCACCTGCTGGACATTTACTTTACATTTTCCGCTTTTCGATTTCGTTTTCAAACTGACCAACATGCAAATATATGTTAATTAGCACTAGGCGGGGCTACGGGATACATTTTAGGACGTCCTCAGACCTCCGAGTCAGAACGGCATCATTCCTCAAACTCAGATCTGGTGAAACTGAACGTCAGCACAAACACCGTCAGACCAAACGGCCTCAGAGAAAAGGTATCAGATCAAACGCAGGCCTGGTCGAGCATACAGTGGTTCATATAACTTAGAAAACTATTATGTATCTCGATATAAATGCCAGTATAACATTTCCAGTTTTTTCTGACGGTGTTTAGTCTGACGTTCAGTTTCACCAGATCTGAGTCATCACGATGGTTTTTCTGGAGACTCGAAGTCGTTTAGCTTGAGGAATGATGCCGTTCTGACTCGGAGGTCTACGGATGTCCTAAAATGTACCCCGTAGCCCCGCCTAGTGCTAATTAACATATATTTGCATGTTGGTCAGTTTGAAAACGAAATCGAAAAGCGGAAAATGTAAAGTAAATGTCCAGCAGGTGGCGCTGATGTTTGTTTGCATTTGCCTTTTCATTGTGACACTTCAAGCGCGTCCGCGCCGAAAACTGAATCACAAACCGTCACTTTGCTGTTGATTTATCAGTTTTGCATTTTCATTTTCATTTTGTCAGATCTACAGCCGATTGCTGTGAAAAAGAAATAAAAACGTAGACACTGCATTTTGATTTTTGTTTTGACACGTATTCTGCATTTCATGAAGAAAAGCCAAAGCCAAAGTGAAGCTTGGATTTTCTTTTCTCTATTAGCTTTTTCATTTTAGATTTGGCCATGAAAAACCAGATAACGACTAAAATGAAATGACAAATAGCTGTTTTGCATTTATTTTTATTTTTGTCACAAATGGCTCGTGCTCATGTGAAAAATGAAATTGCAAATGTAGACATTTCATTTCATTTTCAATTTTGGCCGGATATTTGCGCAGATGTTTGGAAAAAGAAATGGCAAAAAGAGGTTTGCATTTACATTTTATGGTTTTAGTTTTAATTTCTTTTTTGCCTGGATTTGCCTCCCATACCACCTCCTCCAAAGTTCTGAACACCACGGGGTCACCCTCTGTATCAGCAGATGCAGCAGAATGGAACAAATGCATTTTTAGCCAGATCAGCCAGGAGTCTCAGATCTCTGGCTGTCTGCTACCTGAACGCAGCCATTGTTGTACTGTCTTGTCCTTAGTTACCGCTGATAGATCAAGATATGTACAATCGACCTACAGAATCTGATATTGATCAAGCAATAGGAACATTAAGACGCTGTGACATCATTGACTGACAGGCCCTTTATTAGCATAAGGACAAGGATTTACAGAAAAAAAAAAAAATAAATATAGAAATGGATAGTTATGGAAATAAATGAATAAAAAAGAAAAAAATGTTAATAAAGAAACATAAATAACAAAAAAAACTACAAAAATTAGTGAGAAGGGGAATTTACTAAATATACATAAGTAAATGCAGACATTAATTTGTGTAAGGTTTTATTTATTACTATATTAATTTTTATGTATATTTATTTATTTATAGATTTATCATCACTATTCCTTGCTATTCTAATTCATATTAATTTACTAGGTCATTTATTTTTCATTTTGGCAAATCTGGTCCGCAATAAAGTGGCTGTTGCTTTAAAATGTGCCGGCTGAAGCGACTGTAATGTGCTGGGTGAAGTAACTGCTGCTTCTTAAGTCCTACAGAGCACGTCAGTTAGATGATTATCACATTCAACTACATTATAGATTACTGTTTAACGTTACTGCTATTGTTCAAACTAGGCTAACACGAAAATGCAGCGAAACAAACCTCTTACCTCCTGTAGTGCCGTCTAAAATCCTTCAAACGTCAGTCGCCGTAAACACAACAGGCAGCAGTGAAGGGTCGATTAGCTCCTCTTTAGCTCTGTTATCTCCTCTTAGGCAGCGGCGGCACGTACTTATGCTCGCTGGAGCTGTGATAGCCCTCAACTGAAAGTGCTGGAGTGAAGTGACGGGCGCTAATAACGATGCCGGTGAAGTGGCTGCTTCCTACAGTCACAAGAGCCGCCACTTCCGCCCGTCACCCGGCACGCAGAAATCCAACCGCCTCTCTCTATATAAGGTACTGGTGGTATGACGAGTGCCAAGGAGCCAAAGACTGAGGAGGTATAAATTGGGAACACCCATAGACATCATTCCAGACTGGATTTCTCCTAAGATTCACGTACAGCATGCCAGCGCCCATCAAGAAGTCTGCCAAGAAGGCAGAAAAAATGCAGAAGCCCACTGAGCCTGAAGCCGCACCCGAGTCTGCCCCCACGGAAGCTGTTGCCCCCTCAGTAGACAAAGTCGCTCCCGTCGCACCTGAAGGTATTCACTCCACTCAAGAAGCATGAATTACTGCGATGCTAGCTTCTTTAACAGTTGGCTTTCTAAGGCTAACGTAATTAATCTTAGCATGATTGGCATATTTAATGCCCCTTTAATAAGCAAACAGCATTTAATAACATTAATTATTAAAAATAATCTTTGATATATGATGCAAGTCAACAGCACCTATTTTATCATTTATCAGTTAGTTTACTCTGCATATCTTGCCCTGCTATTATCGCATCTTTGAAGTGAGCCTCAGTGTCCACATGTTCCAGTATAGGCACACAACAGCTACACTATCTATATATATATATATATATATATTATATATATATATATATATATATATATATATATATACCCATGAGAAAACAGCACAGAGCGGTAGATTTTCCTTTGTTTGGTTTTGCACTGAAAATATCAACAGAAGTAACTAGCATTTCATAGAATGTGATATATATTGTGTGTGTGTGTGTGTGTGTGTGTGTGTGTGCATGTGTGTATACAAGATTTATATGTGTATATTTTGTGTCATCAAAGCTTTTAATTGCCTATTTCAGTTATTAAAACTGTGTGGTTGCAACATTTTACTTATTGGTTGTGCCAGCTGATTTAAGACTAATTTCTAATTAAACAAGCCTCTACTTAGACACCTTTGTCCTTGAAATTTAGTTTATATTTACATTTTTTCAAATAAACATTATTAAAATAATTACACATTTTCATGGTTTTCCTGAGATCATACCACCTGACATGGTAATTTGAACTTTTTTAACAAAAACCTTTTTTTCCAAAATTTGTGAAAGGCCTACTGGCATTGGTAATACACAATGAAGGTCACTTGGGGTCTTTTTTATAATACAGTACCCTGGCCTCTCATGCATGTCAAAATAAGCATGTCAAAATAAAGATCCTTTTTTTTTTCGTTGTGCTGCCTGACATTTGAAAAAGTAAGAATGTGTGGACAAAAGTTTTTTAGTGAGTTGAGTACTTGAGTACTAAGTTTTTATTTTTTTTTAAACATGAAATCATGCCAGCTGTTGTTTAGAATTCTATGTTACTACATTTTTTTGATAGTTTAATCAACATATATAGTTGGACAGTTGCACCTCTAGACATTTTTAGACCTTTAGGGACTGTAGATGAATCTTTTGACACTTTGTTGGGTCCACGCCTTAATGATCTGAAACTGTTTTAAGAGCAAAAGAGAGCCTCTTAAACAATATTAGGAAGGTGCTGCTAATGTGACTCCTTATACACTTCTAATAAGAATTTATCAATTAATTTTTTTTTCTTTTGTACATGCTTATAACAAGAAATGATACATATTTTTGCAGTCTATGACCAAAATTGCATACATATGCTTCTCATGTTTTTTCAAGCAAAGCTAAAAGTGTTTAACCTTTAATGTTAGCTGCTGTTGCTGCTGCTGCATCTGCTGAAGCTTCTGTTCCAGAGGAAAGCACTATTGCAGAAGAAGGTAAACCTTCAGTTCTGCAAAACAGTAATGCAAGCTGCACTTTTAACCCCCGTGTTGTGATAACTACTTTTACGCTAATGTTGTTCTATTTTTTTTCTTGTTTTTTACCATTTCACTCTCAGTCCCTCCTGAGCACACTGCTACTGCTCCCACTGAAAGTTTAACTGAGGGTAAACCATTTTTTATAGCTTGATTTTACCTCACAGTTTCCATAGTCACATTATCCAGTTTGAAGTTCAAAATGCAGTGCAGATTATTTAAATTGTACACATGAATTGTATTACATCTTAAATGTAAATCTCAATCCTAAAACTCGTATGTCTTTAATGGTAGCTGCACCTGCTGAAGCTGCTCCTGTAGAGGAACCTCCTAAAGCCCCAACACCCCCTCCTCCAGCAGGTTAATGCCTCTGCTTTCCAACCCTCAGTTCTTTCTTCAGTAACTTTATTTACATTACCAAATCCATGAAATATGGTTCCAACACTTCCATTAAAGATCATATGTTACCGCAGTGCCCACAAGTCCTCCTCAGAACCTTGTTGTTGATGATGTCACAGAAACATCTCTTACCATCAAATGGCAGCCTCCAGAGACCATTGGAGAATCTGGATTGGATGGATACACTGTGGAATATTGCAAGGAAGGAGGTAAACCTAAGTTATGAAATGTTACACTCAGTGGAATGACTTCATGATGTAAGTGAGCTGTCATTTACCATAACTGGATAACTTGGCTATCTCATTGCTACACCTGCCTTGGAGCTGTCATGAGAAGTTTGATTCGAGTCAAGCTGTTCTTCATATGCTCTAGACTGGAGGATTGCTTGTCTTCATCACTATATGTACCAACACAGCATTTAAGTTTGTAGACTCTTACCAAAGCCACTGGGGCAGATGTTAAAATGTGTAAAACTGTTTCATATCTAAAATATGTTTTAACAAACAAAAAAGCAGGTAAACGAGTGCACTGTAGCCCGTAGTCTGACAATTCTGCAGCATCTGCATGGCCTAAAGTGATAAAAAAGCTCAATATTCCCTCTTTCCTTTGTACGGCTTCTGAATTTGTAGCTGCGAACACTAAGCCGACCACATCCAACCGCTTTGTTATTAAGGGCCTGACAGCAGGAGAGACCTACTGAATGTCCATGTTGTGTCTCTGAACGCTGGGGGCTGCAGCGACCCTGTGAGCCTCCACTATCTGGTTCCCATCCGTGAAGTTGTGGGTGAGGTTATACAAGTCTTTATGCTTTATGCCAGTCTCTAGTTCAGAGACAAGTTTACCTTTTCATATGACATCATAGTGAAATCTTCAACCATTTCCTTGGGTCACCGAGCAGGCTTTGTGGTGTGAAGGAGGTGAAAGAGCATTAGCTATGGTCCTCACCTCAATGAGTCCAAGTGCTGGGGGCACATAACTCTCATCACCTTGTGCTGACAAGTGCTTTCATTAGCATTTAAATTATAAACATAAAGACCTAGGGTAAGGCTGTCATTGCTGTCTGACTTCTCAGTCAAAGCCAGTTATAAACTGTCACGTTGTCCTGCCAAACTTAGCCTATGTAGCTGTATGTACCAAGTCAAGCATATGACTCCCTGTGGCGTGGTACAGTATTACTTTCATAGCAGGTGCAGGGCCATAAACCTGTTTTGGATCAGATCCTACTGACTTGCTCTGTGTCCTTATAATTTGCATGTGTTTACTCACTGTCACTGGTGGGGCAACTGATAGGGAAGCACAGCTGACAGGTGATCCTACCCTAACTTTGTAGAAACTGCTTGATGTTTCTAAGCAAACATTACTGCTGCTTTTGAATTGACTGCATATAAAATTTGGGGTTCACCGAACAGCAGTCTTTTTGGTATAATTGAGGCATTAGTGATGTCTTTGTTACTTTTATTTATTTGGTTACTTTTATGTATTGATGTTTGTGTGTGCATTTTTTTTCATCGGATACCTTGTTTTCTCTTTCACGCAGGGTTTATAGGAATTTTTTAATTTTTGATTTTTAATTATTCTTTATTTTTTTTAAGTTAATGTAGATTATCAGTGAACAGACTTCTAGAGAGCATTTATTATTCATGAAAGTATTAACTGTAAGACTCAATCAATCATAACTGTGCGAATGTCAGAACACTGCTCATTTTTTTTTCCACACAAGCGAGTGAGGGATTGGGGAAAGTAAGTCAGAAATAAAGTATATGGAGGACAATGTGATGCAAGTTTTATCTAATCAAACTGTTTGTCATTGGGCTGAACCTCATGTTACCTATAAAAGAGTTATGAAATGCATATGTTCCAGTCAAAATGAGCTGTTACTTAGGATTAGATCTGCCTTTTTGTGGGGATACTTACTGGAGCTGTATTTAGCTTTCTGTATCATGGGGCACTGGGTTGTCAAAAATGAAGGGGATTAAAAGGAAGGCTATCATGTATCCAATAAGCCTTCTGAGCCTAGTGGAGATTTGCTGTTTATGAAGAGGTATGTTGGTGTTTCTGAACTGTTTCAGTCACCAACATGTCATCCAGGATAGTGATTAATAGCAGCTACTTTGTTGCAAATTTAGTAGTCAGCTAAAAACTATATCCATTCAATATTATACTTTTTGAAGGATGAAATGAAGTTCTGCTTCTAGTTCTAGACCATGATCTCAAATGGCTCACTGTGAAAGAAGGGATAAATGAAGCACTACAGAAGGCTGATCATGTTGCGCTGATAATGTTGTCTGCAGGACTTTTTTCGGATTTGGTCCAGTATTTTCAGGTGACAATGCATCCAATAATATATGTATTAAATTATCCCTGGTTAAAATCATTTGCAGTAAATTGTTCATGTTCTCTTTACAGTTTTGGCTACTTACATACGAAACTGTTGAGTATATTCTAATTAAATGCTCAGAATGTAAGACTATGACTGTTAACAAAATATATTTATACTAATCAGATTTTCTTCTTCTGTTTGTCCAGATCGTCCAAGGATCCGTTTGCCTCGCTTTCTCAGAGCACGATATATCAAGCAAGTTGGAGACCAGATCAACCTGGTCATCCCTTTCATTGTAAGCTAAACCCATAGTCACAACCTGTAATTAATAGTAGTTTATAATAGTAACCATAGAAAATTTGCTGTGCATTTAACATACATTTAATATACATTCAACAAAATATCTATTAAACTCACCTTAATTTTTCCAAACCGTAAACTTAACCACAACATCTCAATCCAAAACCTAAAGTTAACCCTCACTCTGGTCCTAACCCTATACCTATGGTACTAATCCTAACCCTAAACCCAAGCCTGTTGAGAATCACCAAATAGGCTGTTAATCATTTGAACATCTACAGAATCTCCTAATAATCTAAACTGGTGGTATCCATATAAAGTTGGACCAATATCTGATACATTACCAGTCACACCTACTCATAGTCAAGTCTTTTACTCACTTTCACTTTTTTCTTCATTTTAAAATAATAGTGAAGACACCAAGACTATAATATAATGCATATGCAGATGCAAAGTTTAAAAGAAATCTATCTACTGTTTTAGTAAATTTCCTGCTACAAAAAATGAAACAAAACTATTCTACTACTCTAAACTAATCTACTCTACACTTTCTCTGGCCAGTAATCAAAAGTACATGTGGTGGTGCCTGCCCTCTGACCTAGGGAACTAGATAGAGTACACTTCTTTGTGGTGTGAATGTATAGGAGCACCCCTCTTGCTTGTTTGAAACCCCAAGTGCTACAAACAATCTCTTGTAAAAGAAAGTTAAAAGTGTGCTGGTAAAATACCACAACTAAAGCACTCCTCTCTAACACAGTAGGCAAACTCTCATACACTAACTTAAAAGAAGTACTGGTACTATACCTAAAACAAAATCACACTCCCAACACAAGAGACTAAAAACAAACTAAAACACAGCACATGTGATCAGTCTTCACTCTCCAGCCATCGTGATGGCCTCTTTTTAAGACTTAGGCTTCTCCCCCAACTACACCAGCCTCTGATTGGTCAGTGGTCCTCTTCACATGACTGATGGCAAAACAGGTACATCTGTTATGGGAGATACAGAGAGAGACGAACACAAAAAATCCGAAATATGCACTTACACGTAACGTTGATGATGAGATGACAATAGTACATAATTCACTCATCATCAGAAGACATGCCGTTCACTAGGTTTTCTTTGAGCACTCTTTCAACACGCTCACAGTCATCGCTCAGAGAGGGTCTGAAGCACAACTGATGTTACAAAATGTAACATTGGATGCTGAACTAACTGAGCTAAATGTAGTTATACTAAAAGTACAGTTCCTATCTTTCCATTTTCCTAGATATAAGAGAAAACTCGCTTGGACAGTTCGGAACCTTCCATGTTTTTCTTCTTGTTAAGTCTATGCTTTCCCTAATTGTGAACTACAGGGACTTCAATGCATAAACTATAAATAAAAATAAAACTTTTGGCCCACCATCGGGCCCTAGCCATTTAAGGGGTTAAACAGGTTATGCCAGAGAACAATTAATCAGATATTTCTATTATCAACTGCAGTCAAATTGGTTATTGCTACTACTAAGTACACTAGTGGTTTCTTTCTAATCAACATAATCTAAATTTGTTAATTGAGTTGATCACATCCTTCTTAAACACATTAATTGGTGGTGTTTTATAGACTGATGACATTTTTGTGACTACACACTTCACAAGCAATCCTAATGTAAAAGCTAATGCCAAGAAAACAATCACAGCACCTGTGGTACATGCTCAGCACCTGAAAGCTTCTAGCTATTTAGAACCACTGCTTAGCTATCTGTCCCTATACTTACTCTCACGTAAAATGAGATTAAATTTCAAAACTACTAAACACAAATTTTTTTCACAAAGTCATGAAACAGCTTGTTTTTATAAATTCCCTTTTCTTCAGGGAAAACCCAAGCCTGTGATAACATGGACCAAGAATGGCCAGCCTTTGGATGTAAAGAAGGTAAATATTCGTAACAGTGACAAAGACAGCATCCTGTTCATTCGCAAAGCTGAGAGAGATGACTCCGGCACATACCAGATGACTATCAAGGTTGATAGCTTGGAGGACAAGGCAAACATTGTAATTCAGATTGTGGGTAAGGATCACTATTATCAAGAAATAACAGTTTTCTTTCTAGAGCTATTCTCACTCAGTTGTTATTTTTCTCAGTGCCTCTCATAGTTCTCAGTGTGTAATTCCAGCCAAAACAGCTGAACTGTTTTTAATGTCTGGCTGTCTCTATGCAGAACTCCCTGGTCCTCCTGCCAGTGTCAAACTGATTGACACGTGGGGTTTTAACGCTGCTTTGGAATGGACCCCACCCAAAAACAATGGCAATACTGACATAACTGGCTACACTGTTCAAAAGGCTGACAAAAAGACTGGAGTAAGTAGCAGCCTCTGTAAACCTGTTTTTGGGTATAGTCATTTTGTGGGTAAAAGCCTCAAAGTCACAAAAAAATTTTTGATAACTCCTTTCTAAAACTTTGAATGTTTCAATAAAAGGCAGATGCAGCACTGATTTTTCAGTTGTTAAAATTTATTGGAGTGACTACATGCCTTCACAACTGAAGAGTCATCCCGGCAAAAATATGGTTCCTGAGTGGCTTGATTTAATACATTGCATAGTGTTCTTGAGGTTTTGACAGCAGTCTGACATTGGGGTGTGTTCCATGTAGTGTTAACTTACACCAGGATCAGTGTACACGTTGGGGGTTTCTGTTTTATTTTTCCAAGGAGCATAGATCCTGTCGCATGGTCAAGTGAGGACTAATTTAGCCTTTTGCCAAGGCTGAAAATCTAAACCAAGGGAACCAGCAACCAAATGATCTGTATAAGGGCATCTCACTTGTCTCTGGGCTTGTATGGGTGTTTGAGGCATGTTGCAGATGGCTGCATGGTGACAGCACATCAGTTTGGAACAGGAGGGACATGCACAGAGAAAGTGTAAGCAGTAGAGATAAATGACAGGCTTTCATGCCCTGTGACAAAAATTATTATTACCAACCCACATGGCACAGTGCTAAATGTTTAAATATGCGATAAAACATTGTTTTATTGTATCATCTACTGAATGAGATTTTGTTCTTAATTTAGCACATAATGTATCCCCTAGTTTCTTTTTAGCTATCTTAGCAGTTAGACACTTCATACGTGCATTTTTATGACGTGTGTTTTAATGATCTCTCCCTGTGACCAGGAGTGGTTCACTGTACTGGAACACTTCCACACGCTAAATGCTACAGTCTCTGACCTGATCATGGGAAATTCTTACAGCTTTAGAGTCTTCTCAGAGAACATGGTTGGAAGAAGTGAGAGTGCTGCTGTAACAAAACAAGTCGCTACTATTCAAAAAACAGGTGAGGCCATTTTATGCTTGGTTAGCAAAAAGAGACATTTTTCACAGCAATTATTTTGTATGTGGCACTATATGTAAGACAGTTTGACCACTTTGTTGGTCATGGCACTGTTTGTGAGCTTTGTTAGTTTGTGGATAAGAGTACAAATATTCCTTTTCCCCCTTAATATAAGACCTTCTTGCACAGTGAGTGCTAGTGAAGAGATCGCATCCTCATAGCTCAGGTGCATTGGATTCACTGACCTGTATTAAATTGAAAACAGTACTAAAACATGATATTTGTTGTTTTATCTTATGTATTTTAAAATGTGGTCATTCCAAATATGATGCCTGCAACACATTCCAAAAGAAATTGGGACAGGCACATGTTTACCACTGTGTTACATCACTTTTCCATTTAACAGCACTTAATTATTTGGGGACTCAAGATACCAATTGATCCAGTGTTGAAAGCAGAATTTTTGCCATTCCATTCTTCAGTTGTATAAATCTTCAGCTACACAACCATATGGGGCTTTTATTGTCATTGTGCACTTTATAATGCACCATACGTTTTCAATGGGAGACAGGCAGGCCAGTCTAGTATCCACACTCTCTGATTATGCAGCCTTTTGTTGTAATGTGCAGAATGTTTCTTGTAACATTCTTATTTAAGTAAAAAACATAGACGCCCTGAAAAAACAGCGTCAAAAAAGCAATATACGTTGCTCCAAATGGTGAATGTATCTTTCAGTGTTAATGGTGCTTTTACACATGTTGAAGTTACCCTCTAAGTTACACCCCCATGCCATGACAGACCCTGGCCTTTGAACTTTACACTGTTGGCAATCGGGATGTTCCTTTACTGTTTTACCATCATGTATTAGTCCATTTAAGATGATCTCAAGCCCAGAGAAGTTGCCAGTTTTCCTGGACATTGTTGACACATGTCTTCCTCTGTGCATAGTGCAGTCTTAACTTGCATTTGGGGATGCAGCAGTGAACAGTGTTTATTGACAGTGGTTTGTCAAAGTATTCCCAAGCCCATCCATCACAGAAGCAGGCTGTTTTTTAATGTAGGGATTATAGGGCAAGGGCATTCATTTGTAGTTTTTGCTTGCTTTTGCTTTTTGCTTTTTCAGCACATAGATATTTTGGATTCCTTGAATCTTTTGATAATATTATGCATCTTAGAAATACAAAAAAATACTTGCAAATACTCATTGAGGAAAGTTGTTCTTAAACATTTGGATTATTTGCTTAGCATAAAACATTAAATTTATTTAATATTTCATGCTTTAGAAGTGTGAATAACTGACAACAGAAGAAGGATTGCTGACAGGAAGTCACTGCTTTCTGTTTTTATTTGTATTTCACATACCTCCCCCAACTGATTGTTACCGAACCAAACTGAAAATCAACCGAAGTTGTCAAATACTAAACATGAACAGCAAATTATGTTTAATTCAAAATAAGTCACATTTTGCCCTGAACATGTCATACATTGTCCATCACTTTTTATTAAATATGACAAACGTTACAAAGGCACTATATTGTACATATATAGCCCTGTAATTTCAAGCTGATATGAGTAAGATCTACGCTCTTTGATGAGGTTTTTGTCCACTGCCACACAGGTATTGTCTACAAACCACCAGAATACAAGGAGCATGATTTCAGTGAGGCCCCTAAATTCACAGCACCCCTCAGTGACAGGGCAGCCACTGTTGGTTACTCTACTAGACTTCTGTGTGCAGTCCGTGGCTCACCTAAGGTATGGCCAATATGCTAAAAAAAAACAAACATTGCATACATATAAGAATGTCAAAACATTCACTTCATTCAGTACATCCAGCGTCAAAGTTAGCTAGCTAAAGACAGCAGAAATACTAACAAAGTAAAGCTTTAAGTAATATTAAACATGCATATAACTAGCAATTAGAACTTATATATAAAAGTATATCTCTTATTGTCAGTGAACATTTTCTGTTACTGTTTTATATTTTATTTATATTTATATTTTATTTATATATGTTGAGCAGAATAAGCAGTTAAAATGGTACATGCATCAGTGTTCTGAATTGCCAAAGCAAAGCGTACATGATTTTCTTGTTTATAGTACAGTAGTAGTTTAGTTTTTATTTTCAACCCTTTTCAAAGCTGTCTAATCTCAAAAAATTCTGATTGTTTTTAAATAGTGAACATGTAAGCAAAACTGTAATCACATTTGCCATCTGTGTTGGTGTAAATATATATATACATCATTGTGCAGCTGTTTGAGATCAGCTTGCACTGCAAACTCAGTATTAAATGACTTTAAAAATGCTTGACCTAAATGTTCTTGATCACATGCTGAAAAAATAGACTGGGGTGTGTTAAAGCTGAAGCAGCCTTTGCACTTCACAGATATTGTGGTAACAGGGTGCTAAAAAAGTTCTCACAGACTGCTGGCCATAGAAATCAGCTGGCCTAGAGTCTTGAAGTATGTGTTAGTTTGTCACTCCTCTGCCAGCCTCTTGCCTAGAGGGAGCAGAGAATTAGGTTTTGAGGGCAGCTGAAGATGGCTAGTTGAGTCCAGGCCAGAGGCAGGTTACTGCATAGCCCTTCTGGCCAGTCTAAAGTATTTTGTCATTACAAGACTGACAAAATGGCAGAGACTTTTCAGTTGAAGCAATTACTTATTGTTAGGATTCTGTATTTATTGTTAGGCATCTGTACTTTCTTCTCTGTTACTAAGACAATCATTTGATTGCATATACTGGACAATTAAAGCATATGGCAAGGGCTTTTCATAAATAGTTAAGTTATACTTGTAAGTGTTCGTAACAAATGGTATGACAGGTACCAACAACCATATTGTTCCAACAAACAGGACAATGAGTTCAGTATAATGTATAGTTGCCTGTCCAGTACCTAGATTTCAATGCAGCTAAATTGAAATCTAGATACTCTAGATAATTGACATAGAATGAACTAGAGTAGAGGTCTGTTACTGATAGCATCTGTTGTTGTAGTCTTTTAAACTACTGTACTGTTATGTTTGTGAGGATCAAACTGATTCACTGTTGATACACGCTTCACGGTTCAATGTTATCATTCGTTCTGCTGGCTCACTTTTTATGACATGATGGAGCTATGTTTGCCATTCAAGAAAGGCAGGAAAGAGCATGTTGGGTTGTAAAGTAGAACCCTCCCCAAGACCACATTGTGTCCTGCTAAAATACCACTGTATTAGCCAATAGAATTTCCACACCTCCCCTGGGCACTGTGGTGGCTCTTCCCCCATGAAACAATATACATGAAATTGTAGCACTGTGTTGCACAGTTTGCCACTGTGTGTTTGTTTTTCTTCCTGAAACATCATAACTTCCTGTAGTAGTCATCAGACCATACACAGTTACAGTACAAACAGACTGTTAAAATGTTTCTCTAAGCCTGCTATGTGAGATATGGTAACATGTAATTGCAGAGGATATGGCTTTATCACAGGAAACAGGAATGTGTGGAATTCTAAATGAGGACAACTACATCACTCAGTTTCCATCAGGCAGAATTTCAATCAAAGCACTGGAGAATTGGAAACTGGATATGTCTTTACTGAATTTTGCCATTCCCAGTGACTTCCATAGTTCCATTATTGCGTGACATGTCTTAGCTCTAAGTGTAAACCATTAGAAATCAGGAGATATTACTGTCATTGTACACAAGACAAATGTAATTATATAATTAATTTCATAGTTGGTTAAAAAATGAATTACAACCCCATTTCCAAAAAAGTTGTGACACTGTGCATAATGTAAATAAAAATAGAATGCAATGATGAGCACATCATGTAAACCATATTTTTAAAGGAAAATACTACAAAGACATATACAAAGACAACATATCCAATGTTGAAACTGAGAAATTTTATTGTTTTTTTTGAAAAACATATGACCATTATTTTCATTTCGATGCCAACAACACATTCCAAAAAAGTTGGGACAGGGGGGCATGTTTACCACTGCGTTTCATCACCTCTTCTTTTAATAAAAGAAAGAAATTCAAAATGTGCAAATATTTTCCAAAAAATAAATACAATTTCTCAGTTTCAACGTTTGATATGTTGTCTTTGTACTATTTTCAATTAAATGTAGGGTTTAAAAGATTTGCATATCATTGCATTTTTTGGAAATGGGTTGTACATTTACATTTGATGTACAATTTATAAGGACAAATTTGAGTCTTTTTCCATTTCTTTTGATGACAAGCAGGGACAGACACATGGTAAAGATGTAAAAAATGTCTTGTTTTATCCTGCAAAACAGGAATAATAACTTTTCAAAGTTAAAATTAAATCATAACCAAAAAAATCTTTTCTTCTACTTAAAAAGAGAAGAATCTTTCCTTGTCCGAATGTTCCCACTTGCTTTTATGACATATGAGTGAGGAACACTTTCCAAGAAATTACACTAGTGTTAACTAGGACTTTAAAAGGTGAATACATGTGGGTGTTAAACAGTGATATAGCAGTAATTTACATTTTCATTTAGTATGAACAAAATTCCAGAAAATGTCGATGGCTGCATTCTCACAACATGACAGATGTAAATGATTTTGTTATCCTGTCATACTGACTCTTTTCTTAGCCTAAGATTGAGTGGATGAAAAACCAGATGCTGATCGGGGATGACCCAAAGTTCAGGCAGAACAGCAACCTGGGAGTCTGCTCACTGGAAATTCGCAAACCTTGCAGCTTTGATGGTGGTGTCTACACTTGCAGAGCCAAGAATGCACATGGAGAAGCTACAGTTGCCTGCAAACTGGAGGTTAAACGTAAGTTCTTCTTGACAGACAAAAATTGTTTCATATGTTTCAATTTTAATTCTAATATATGATGTAGCATAGATCTATGATTTGCTATTACAAATATTTTGTATATTGAAAATGTATTCTCAAACACATTGTTTATTTGTTTTATTTATCAATCAACATATTGCAGTATATGCCATTTTCACATGAGCGCTTGTGTACTATATTTTATAACAACGAATAGGTAATATAAATTGGTTTTATATGTTTCATGAATATTATGCACTATCCCTTGTTCTGCCAACAGAAGTGATTGTTCCAGAAGATAAACAGAAGAAATAGGCTCACTTACAACTGACTGATACAAGTGAGAAATAAAAAAAAATAACATACAATTGCAAAAATGTTATCTTGGCAAACATCATTTCCTAAAACAAGTAAAACTGTCTGCCAACAGAACAGAAGACAATTTCACTAGATAAAATTACTTGCAACAGGTAAAAAAAACACCCAACAACAATAGGAGTAATAGATTTTAAGTAGTTTGAAGATGTTTTCACTGATAGCAAATTAAGCGAGTTGCTTTGAGAGGGTCTAAGGTATACTGGACAGAACAGTTGGTTCTCATAGTCGACATGTTGGATGCATAAGAAATGTGACGTGTGCCACTTACATAAACATTGTTATGGACCAGCTACTACACTCCTTCATGGCCTCTTTCAGGAGGATAATTAACCCTGCCACACTACACACATTGTTCAGGTTTGGTCTAAGGAACACGACAGAGTTCAAGGTGTTGCCCTGGCTTCCAGTTCCCCATATTGGAATCCGATCAAGCATCTGTAGAATGTGCTGGAACAACAAGTACGATCTGTGGCGGCTCCACCTTGCAACTATACATGGTATACTGAGAAAGTGCAGCCCTTCTAAATGGGAAATCATCTGACTACCTGAAGGTGGCATCACAAGGGGCTAGTATATGCACAGTCTTTTCTTTTCAAGCATGGACTTTCTTCTTTTAGGGGTTTGGGACTTCTTAAGGGCTCTTCTTGGGAGATGTTCATACATGGGAGGCTTTGTAATCTGTAAGAGTATGGTCTCTCCTGCTTAAAGAGGCTAGAATAGTTGAGTGGTTTTGTACTAAAAATAACTCCCCAGACACACACTCTTCACATTACCATGATTCAACAGCCAGGCCTGTCTCCTGCTAGCAGCATGCAGGATGTGGCCCCTCAACTCTGAGAGAGGTCACCTAACAACTTGGATGAACCTTATGTCTCACACAACAAGGTGCCATGAGATAAGGCAAATGCAAAGAGAGGTGCTAAGATAATGAACATTACAGTTAACATGATAACTGTTGTTGAATCAAAAGGGTTATGAACCAATGTTTTAATAATTATTCTAAACAATTCTTATTATAATATAAAATGTTTATCTAGATAATCAGTCTATCCCTAAATGGCTCTTGCTTTGGATGGTTTGTTCTAGGACATAACTTTTAATTTGTATGGAACCTTTACATTATGTGGAGGTTCTTTAAACTTGAGGTTGTTAATATTTACACATCTCATTTACAAAAATAGTTCTATATAATCCATCCATTGAAATGTTTTAGGGACCCATAATTGTTTTATTCTATGGCATTGCTCCAAAGAACCCTTTTTGGGACAATAGTTTTTACGAGTGCAGATGAGAAATTATATAACTGAGTCTTCATTTTCAGCTTCAAATGTAGTCTATAGTCTTAACCAAGATGTAAATGTTTGACACTGCTGATTGACGGCATGGTGTGCTTATTAGGTTTTAGTTCAAGTAACCACAGCTTGTGCATATCCTGTGTTTTAGTCACGCTGAAGGGTAAAGGTGTTCTTTGCATGTCTGACCATTTGATTCTGCGTTCAAAAACGCTTATCACAACATTTAAAGAGGCAAAGAACCAGGACATAGCTACCAGTTCTTTTGCATTTGTCTGACCATACACTTCACTGTAATTCTGACTTTGTGCTCAATAAATAAATGAATTAATAAGATGTTTTATTACAATGATGTATGCAAATGAAATGATGTTATCATAATATATACATTTTGGGTCTTGCTGTTAGAGAAATTGCCTTTTCAAATGCACATAATCATTGATGTACACACTAGTTCTAGGTGTCTTCTTGTTAAAGTTTAACTATGGTGTTACTGGAAATTAGAGGGGAAGGATGTGGCTTTTTTGCCACGAATTGGTTTGCTCAACCAAACCAGCTGCTGAAGTACACTTGCCTTTTAAATAGAACTGTGGTCACCTCTGTCCCCAGTTTTCTTTCAAACTGTGAGCAGCTATGCTGAGTTATAACCTTCAGAAACTTTTTTTTATTATTGGCAATGTTTTTTTATACTACATTGCCAGTATCATCAAATGCTCTCAGGTTTGCCTTTCATACAGTTTTGCTCTGGTTTAAAATGGCTTCAGAAGTGATGGCAGAGTCTGTTGTTATACACAAGCAATATGTTATCGATAGCAAAGACTTTTCATTTAAGGCTGTTCAGGCCATATTCAATACTTCGCAACTTATGTCAGTCACTTAAGTTAAACAGTTACATCAATAGATACGCAATAAGGGAGCAGTTTTCAGATCTGTGCTACATGGGTGCTAAAGTTGATTTTCTAGGTGCCATATTTAAATTATTGATATTTGGAAGTATTGAAATTACACCTGAAGTCTGAGGTTGCTAGATTTTTTTGCGCTGCGCTTTCAAGGCAGGTTCTTTTTCACCTGCGTGTGGCCTTTAAAAAAAACACTTGACTTTAAGCCCAAAGAAAATGAAACGGATAGTTTGCAGTTTATAGATGAAATGTTATATATGCCTAAAAGCACAAGACATAACCAAATGAGATTAGAAAAAATCCTAATATGACAATTAACAGCACAGACGTAGTCACAATTCAAATAAACATTTAATAGTAACCTAATATATTGTACTTCATTCTAAAACAAAATATATCTATTTTCAGAAAATGAATATATTTGATAATTACTGATTTTTACATTAGGCACCAAGACAAGCATTAGACGAGCATTCATTCAGCATTATCATAATAACATAATAAAGTTTCACAGAAATTTCATAGAAATGCATAAAACCTAAATTTTGCAAAAATAAATTTGAGAACTTACAGATTACATTGCCACAAGGACATATATTTTCTGACATAAATATACACATTGTGAGATTTTACTGACATAAAAACTCTGGCTCTGTTTTCCGCAAAGTACTCCCCATGTATGCAAGTTTGAATACGCAAACTCAAACAATTTCAATTTTATCTTCTTATGCATAACTCAACTCTGAAGGCCCTTTGCAAATATGTGATACTTAACTTATCGCATGATATGATGTTTTACACAACACCAATATACGACCAGAACTTTACTCACTCCTCAAACTCTGGTGCTATACGAATGTAGCTATAGACTATACTAGACTATACTATAGACATTACTAGAAAATGAGAGAAATGAACTGGGCTGCGCCCCGGATCTTTACATGCCCAGTCAACACCTCTGATGAGGACATATCCGAGCAGGTGGGCAGTAAGAAATGCTCACTTTAAATTTCATAGCTAGCATTAGAAGCATACTGACTGTCATTTTGTCATATTTATGATGTGTTATGTGTTTTCATTTATCGCTAGCTAGCCACACTGGTTATCTCAGTGTAGCATACAAGTAATAAATAAGAGTAAGAAATTAAGAACATAAAAATGTAAGATTCTAGGATTTTAGAAAAAGTTATTTGTAGAGGTGTAAGTAACAAATTCCATTTACTCTCGTTACTGTAACTGAGTACAGTTTTCCCCGTAACGGTACTATTGAAATCCGCTTTCACAGCTCGACTCGACTGAGGCAGCGTTAGCCGAGCTAGCTTATCCGAGCTAAACAGGTGCCGTGTTTACGGTTTTCTTCTTTTATAATGCTTCTGTTTATTAAACTTGAAATCTGTTGCTTATATTTTATTACAGTGCCTGTCAGCTACTTTAGTTAACAGGTGTCGCCCACAGCCTGCAGTTTACCACTTTATACAGCCTAGTTTAGCTGTTGTTTTGGAGATAAACGGTTGTTTACGGCTGTGAGACAAGAAATCTAGTAAAATACAAGTTCTCCGTAAACTCTGGACAGTGATTCTGTCGCGCTGTCGTTCTTTAAGCTGACTGGCCTGACCTGATCCCTCCCCACCTCCCCGCCTTCTCTCTCTCTCTCTCTCTCTCTCTCTCTCTCTCTCTCTCTCTGTTGCTCTCTCTTTCTTTCTCTCTCTCTTCCTGTCTCCTTCTCTCCGTCTGTCTCTCTCTCTCTTCCTCTCTGTCTCTCTCTCTCTCTCTCTCCTGTCTGCCTTGGTGTTTATCTTTAACTTTGAGAGGCTGTGTAGTTGTTTAGCTGTGAAATGCGGTAATAATGTCTGATTCTGTATGAAGTGATCAGCATGATTATTAATGAAATATATTACAGTAAAAAATCAAAGCTGGGTAAATTGCTGATGTTGCTGCTGATTTTAATGGTAGAAATGTTCTAAACTGATATCAGTGAAAATATACAGTTTGAAGGCTGTGAATGTGTTTATTGTCTGTAGAGGTTCACACCTGTTAACGTAAGCTAGAGTCCAGGGAGCTGATGGGCAGCAGGACTCTCACTAAAATTCTATTATTGATTAAGCAATCTAATCATAATTTTAACTTATTTATTTTCTTTTAAATAAACTTAAACAGTAACAGCCTCTGCACAGTCTTTCAGGGACTGTAAAATATTTTATTGGAAACAGATAAACTAGGACATATTATATAATCATCTAACCATGAAATGCATGTAGTGTAATGTAAACCTTGTTCCTTACACAGTTCACAGAAAGGTGTGTAAATGTGCACTAGCAGAGCAGACTGATAAGTTTCAGCTCTCAGAACTTTTTCCCACATATTATCATGTTTTGCTTTAGTGTTTTTCTGTACAGATTATTTCCAATGATGTTGTTGAGTCAGCTCAGAAATATTTTCAGGTTGTGGGAGCAGAAATACGAAAAAGTAACTAACTCAGTACTTAAGTAGTTTTTTAATGAAGTACTCATTTACTCTTACTTGAGTAATTTTATTTACTAATACTTTTACTTGTACTTAAGTAAATTATCACTACAGTAACAGTACTCATACTTGAGTAGGGATTTTCAGTACTCTTTACACCCCTGGTTATTTGGCATGAAGACACACCCTGCTAAAAAAGACCCTCAACCATTATCTAAAATCTTTTAAGAACATAAAAATGAGATCAACTAGAGTTTTGAGTGGGCTGGTATGTATCATGTAACTCCCGATCTGAAAACAAGTCACACTCCGGCCCTTCTGGCCAGCTGCAAAGTGTTTAATTAC